AATCTACTGATTTACACATGAATATTGGGCACTTAAAAATCACTTACCACTGATTTGCATGCACCTATTTTCTTGCATGTTGGCAAAAACTGCCGATCACAAATAAAAGAGCACCCAAAAATGCACTAGCCGAGTATTCAAAGCAACCATTTCAAATGTAGTCTTGTATGCGGAGAACAAATCTTTCTGCCCAGTAAACTGATAGGAATCACTTCTAGTTAAACCTTAAATACATGTATTACAGTGAAACACTGTTGGACAGTGCTCCGTCATCAATCAGTCTGTGTTCTTGAGGACACTATTTTTCGAGATGCTTTCTTTAAGAATAAAGCCCTGTGTTGTAATGAATATGTGCTAACTGATTCCCCAAGCCATTTGTATTTTTTTTTTTTATTTGTATCAGTGTCAGAGTTGAGCTTCTGTAAGAAATTTTTACAGTATTTTATTTGTAGTCTTCATTATTTCAAGTCAAGGGCACAAAACTCTTTATGCACCCAGAGTCTGCACTGGTTCGTTTATATCCCGTATTTTGTTAACATGTTACCGTGATTGCTAATTTTCATGACAATTGTTATTGTACCATCAGTGCTTAATGGCAAGGCATCATTATTCAATGCTGGTCAATCAGGCACTAAGACATGTGCAAGACATCAGGCTGAACCCATATAGATGTCGTGCACTCCCCTGCTAATGAATGCAGTTTTCTAAAAAGGTTTAAACACGGTTGGCATCCTTAATGTAAGGTTTGCAAAAGCTTATTCGGGCACTGCTTTGTGTTTATACGGAGCAGATCTAAACATGTCACAAACAGAGTTAGACCCATTGTGTGCATGTGTGTGTGAAGCTACAGAGAGGAGCAAATCATTGGGGGTTTTAAAATGTGGAGAGGGAGCACAATTTCTGCCATGGTGGGAGTGGGGAGACCTGATTTGCCAAGGACATCGGTGTTTGGTAATAGATGCAGGACTTGTTCTCCGACCAGTGGTCGCTGTGTGCATCAAAGAGGTGATCCCCAAAAGTGATGTTGTCATTCGTCAGCTCGCAAAGTTGGCACCAGCAGGAGGGAGCCTCCAGCGCACCAGTGGTCGGAGGTTCGGCACTGTGACCAGAAGCCAGGGTAGAGGGTCAAGCATTTAGAAAGGAGGAGCAGAAGGAAACTCAACAGGAGTGAGATGCGCTTTCAGCGTTGTTAGCCTAGCCTGCTCTTCCAGTGTGTCGGTTAACATTACCCTCGCATCTGCTTTAGTTACTGTTTTTATGTGGTTTTGCACCCAAACGTTTTGGGCTGCTGTCCATGATAAACTAGATGGAACTTGGTTTAAAAGCACAGATTTTTCATCTCTTCTAACTCAAAGTAGAATGAGCCCTTGTGCTCCTAGAGTTTCGAGTATGAAAGGAACAGTAGACATTGGCTGTTAACGAGCTCCAGCGCACCAGGCTCCAGCAGAACTTGGTGTGAATTCAGTGCCTAAGCTGCATCGACTAAATGGTTAATTCATCTCATATCAACAGCACTATGATTCATAATGTAAACTTGAGGAATCCTTGATGTTTCAGTCACACATTCCTCTTAATTTGGCCATGCATTCTTTTAAAGCTACAGTGTGCTAACTTAATAAAATGCAGCATGCAAATGCACAAGTTTTTGCCTTCGGGCATTTTAGCCATGGATGTTTCAATGGGTGTCTTCTTTCAAGTATATATTCTTTCTTAAATTATTTACCCTGTAAACATGCTTTGCATTTTCAAAGAAGACTCTAGACTTCCTCATTCACCAGATTTTGTTGAATTTAAGGTGTAATAGGGATAAAAGACTATCATCTGCTTCTTGCGAGCCTGTTAGCCTTTGGGAATTTTTTGTAGCGAATGTTAGGCCCCATTTTCTTCTACTTTGGTATTATCGCTCCCTCCCCCACTTAAATTCCTTGATGCTTTGCCTAGAGCAATACCCACTGGCAGTGTCTGGCTGTGACAGTACTATAGGCTTCCCTACAGATGGGTCCTGCCAATGCCAACCATTGTTCTACCACTGTGAGCTGGCTTGACTGTCTTGGATCACTCAAAACGCCCTTTCCTCTTGATTTTTCCTTTACTCTGAAGGGTCGCCCTTGCCTGTTGACTTTGAGATCTGAAATGTGCTGACACCCAGAACCTGTATTCTCTGAGCAGCAGCTCCCAGACTCAGACTTCGACACACACCACTTGCTAAGCCCTCCTCAAGACTGTCCTGCTGCTACCAACAGCTCTGTTGTTCTCCTCCTAGCCCCATCCTTCTGGCAGTTTGCAGTTAGTTTAATTTTACTTGCTCACTTGAAAGCGAAACAGTAAAACTCGATGTTATTCCTTTTTTTAAAGATATAAAATTAATCTTTAACTGTGGGCTTGAATATTAAAAGTATATAATACATCAGTGTAGGAGTCTGTTGATAACATCCATCCTATTTCATGATTAATTTGTTCCTTTTAATATGATATTCTTTCGCTGCACTGTGCAGACTAATTCAGATTCCTAGAAATTGAACTTTGATATGTATTTCCTAGATTCACACCGTAAGTGAACCTTCAATTAGCAGATACAGGTGGCAGCATGCCTCACTCAATGTTCTCTTGACGGGGATTTGAGAGACGTGGACACTGATTAAATAATCTTGCAATCGGGTGTGTACTGCCAGAGCATTAAAAATAAAGCATTTGGAGGGTTTGATGCTTTTTTAATTTTTCTTTAAGTCTCAGACAACGAAATGCTTTTTCAGTGGGCCAGAGATAGGAGGAGTTGATTTAAACCCTCAGTATGTTATGTATGCTTTTGCCTAACTATGTGTTAGATTAAGCGAGTTTCACTCACAGTTAATCCTTTGTAAATTAGCATTATGGATGCCTTGGGGCCCACATCCCACAAATAAAATGGTTGTCAAGCCAGCTGCACTGTGTATTACTTAAGGCTGAATGTTTTAAGAGTTTTCATGCTTTTAATCTATTTCACTGCTGAGTTTCAATTTTGCTGAGTGTCTTTTCAGGAGTGATGAGGGTGAGTGAGTAAATATATATTCTGGTTTTCATGCATTCGCCTGGGCAAATCGTTTGTTATCAGGTGTTTGGCAGAGAATGTCACACCCCACCACAAAAAGAGAAGCTTGTAAGTTCAGGTGTTAAATTAAAGTGCAAACCAACAAGAACCAAAAGCCCTTAATTAGCTTTATTTTGTTAGCCTGATACACTTTTTTTTTTTTTTTTTAAGGGGGGAAAAAAAAATAGTGAGAAACATCCCTCCCTCCTCCTCATCCTTTTGGCAGAGTAAATATTGCCTGTTAAGTTTGAATTAGCTGTCATCGCGAAAGAATTAATGCTGTGGTTGAGCCTTTCTAGTGAGGAAGGGAAAAATAAACGAGACAGATCTTAGTTCAGCTTTAAGTGATAAATGAGGACAAAGCAGCCCATTCATCTCCTGCTAGGAAAGTGGACACAAACACTAAAGCAGTTTTGCGGAAGACGTGTCAGCAAATGTGATCATTTTGTAACCTGTCAGGAGGATAGAGAGCTAGTCCTTTTAGAGTGTCACAGGGGAGGGTGTCTGTCTGATGTGACAGTTTTCATCCATCCATTTACTGCGTTTTCTTTAGGTGGGGGGTAAGCAAGGAGAGAGCTGGAGTTGGTTAAAACTGCATTTTTCTTTACACTTACCAATATAATTTATATGTATATCCACCCGCATCCAAATGAAAAACATTTACCAAGGAAAACTCCCCTCTGCTCTCTAGAGTTTCTTCTCTCTTTCACTGCGTGAAATATGCTCATTTTAACACATTGCATTCCCTGTCTTCAAGTTGGAGCCTTGTACTTGGTTTGATGTTTCACAAAACACAGTTTTACCTCTTCTTACCATTGTTTGTTTGGTGATGGTTTTGTTTTGTTTTGTTTTGTTTTGCAGAAGCTAGCGAAAAAGAAAAAAAAAATTATATATATATATTAGGGTGCTTATGTTGCATTTGGTTGTTGGGGGTTTTTTTGCTATACCTCTCCAATTCTGATAATACGCTTCATGTACAAATATGTTTTGCAAAAGTTCCTGTAACATGAAGAGCCTATGAAAATATTCTTCCTCCTCTGTGAGAATGGAATAACAAACAGTGAATTCTTACCATCCAGAATCCTCCCATAAAATGCCTCTAATTCTACTGTTTGTTGATATATTCATTTTAATTGACCTATTAATTTCTGATTTTATCAACAAATGATTGAACAATATTAGGACTTTCTACTTCTAGCATCTTCTTATTATTACTAATTGACATTTTTTTAATACTACATAGAAAATGTAACGTTTGCCTATTACCATAAGTAAAGGTATGCTAAAGAGACAGGAGATGCTTTTACAACATAAGCTTCACAGTTTGACACTTGCTTCTTTATATCATCCTTTTCTTCAAAACTATCTTTTATACTTTTCCCTTGGTATTTTAGTACAAGTAAGTATCTCACTGACATGTGTTTCCTTGAAATCTTGTACCTTAATAGTAAAATCCCTTGAAAATTAATAAATTGTTTCTGTTCAGATTAAAAAAACTATGAAGATTTCAGAATGGCTTTAAAAAAATACAATGGTATTTACTATTACAGACCACCCTGCTTGGATTGCATCAGCTGAGGACTAATTATTTAATTTTCTTAGAAGATTAATAAATTGTAACATGATGTATTTCCGTTATTCTAATATGTATATGTGTATGCAGAAAATTAAGAAAAGTGTAATTCTTTCCTGAATGCGTAAGGTAGATGTAATAGCTACATAAAGAAATGTTTGGAAGCACTGGGAATTGAAAGAAGTAAAAAACAATCAAGATACACAGAATGGTATAGGGAATCCTAAATTTGTGGGCATATCTTTTCTCCAAGTTATTTATCTGTGTGCTTCTTTTCACGATTTATATATACATATATATTCTGCTATTTTGTTTCACTCACATTTTTTTTTTCTTTTTGTCTCTTCTGCTTTTTTTCAGGATCATCCAAAACCGGATTCTGATCGTCCTTCTGGCAGTCATCATCATCTTCACCACCGTGATGGCTATTTTTTTTTCTGTCAGGGGACGCTGATATCTTTGTTCTTCACTAAACATCAACAAACTGCTTGTTCTGAGTAATTAAGACAAAGTGGTCACATGAATCATTCTCTTGCACTGACAGAGTCTCCTTCTCTTTTCCACTCTTCAACTCAGGTGCAAGTGGTGTAAAATATTTTGTATTATTGATGGCATAGTTGGTGGCATGTGGAGTTGATTATTTTTTTCTTACATTTTTTGTTTTCATCTGAGTGCTTTCAGAATCTTAATATTTGTTGGGGTGAGGGCTTGGACTGGTATAAAAAAAACTTAACACGTGTGAATTCTACCCCATACAATTAGCCTGTAAGTTGCCAGAGTTTAGCGAGGGAAGAGGGGTCTTTGCACTTTTCTTGTGCCATGCGGGGTGTATGAATATCAAGCAGTATCTGACCTCCTGTGATACAGGATATAGGTAAAGCAGACACCAAATGATGTAGGAAGTGAACCTGTCTCCTGTGACTAACTTGCAATCATGAATTATCGTAATAGACATAACCTGATTAAGAACAGTAAGTTAGTTTTAAAGAGAGAACAACCTCAGGATGATATTTAACATCTGATGTGAATCCAACACTATTTAACAATTTCTTTAAAAATTAGGCTTTCTTTTCTGCTTATTCAAAACAATTCCACTTTCATCAAGATCGTGATAATGAATCACTTACCCCAATGGTAGTTTTGACCACAGCCCATCTGTTGAATTAGTTTTAAATCTTCCAACGTTGATATATGTACTGATAAGCATACACACTAGGCCCTTACTGAAGATGTATAAAGATACTTATCTATTCATTGCTGATTGAAAAGAGATCCTAAGTAATAGTTCACTGACAAATATGTGATTACAATGCATTGAACAAAAATCTAGGTTTTTAACATTGGCCTGACTATGTTGAGACTGCATGTTGGAAATATTTTTAGCATATTGAATTCTGAAGTGTTATTCCCCTTTTTTAAACAGAAACTGTAAATATGTTAATTTATACATGCTTTTAGCTGATATAATATATCATAGTTTCATCTACATAAACGAGCTGTGTTTCTCTTTTCCTATTGGCTGTGCTTCTCCTATAGACAGGTCTAGGTCATTTGGCTTATAATTAAGCTTACAACTCCAGCAAAGGTCTATTTCTGGTGATGTGGTGCAGTAATTTTCATGATAACTTTTAAATTCATTATATGCAATCCCTTACAAATATTACAAATTGAGAGGGATTGAGGGATTTTAAGCCCTTGAACTTAATCCATAAAATCTTTTCAGAAAGATGTTCAAAGAAACAAAAAGCTGGTGGCTTTCAAACTCCCCCCCAAATTAGGTAGGAACTGAGCACCAAATTATCATGCGTGCCTTAGTACTTTTGGGGGATTGGCATCCCTGCAGTCTCTGATGACTTGCTGTGCTGTCCCTGTGAGTTGATTTTGGGATAAACATCTGAGAGTCGATTTTGGCCCTAAATATGCCCCCCTGTTTTCTCTACATGGAAACAAATAGCTCAGCTAAAAGGATGTTGGTACTGATGCCACAGCTAAGACATTGGAAGTTGATGATAAATGCAGAATAAAAGGATCCGCAAGAAAACTATTCATTGAACAAATGGAAGTGTGTATGTTCAACTGTGGTTTCTGAGTTACATGCAGCTTACAACTAAGTTCAGAAATGGATTCTGGTACAAAAGTTCCTGGATAATCCAGACGCACATGTCTGGGAAGTGCTGCTCTCTGCAGAGCAGCTCAGTGATGTTCAGCTCCTCACCTCAGTGGCCCTGCACTGTCAGGGCGCCATGGGACCCCCCTCGCCACCTCCTTTCATCCTCGCGAGGCGTGTGGCATTTATCGCATGGCTTTTGGGCACGGAAAGATTCGGGTGAGCAGTTTACAGTGTGGAGGCTGGCTGGCCTTCAATCACAACGTGCACTCAAATGAAGCACTTTGCGTTGTGTAAGCAAAGCTCTGGCCATTAGCTTCGAGTGATGGCACTGAGCTGAGTTCAGGCAAATTAGGACAAAGCCTGGCAGCATTAGAAAGTATTTATCCTCTCCTAAGCAAATTAGGAGATGCATACTTTGTAAAGCAGAAAACTGTCAAGAAGGAAATCTTAAGCTCCGTCTGTTGCCTAGACATTCTCTGCATTGCCTCAATAATTTAACTATCATGGGAATTGATTCATGACTACTGATCTTAACAGTGACCTATGACTAGGTTTTGCCCTCTATCTAGCCACCTGCTGGAATCAGCAAAAAGCTGAAAGGAAGCTAGTTTTCCTTATCCCAGTATAAATCTAGGGCATAGTGTCACATCAGATACATCCACTCAGATGGGAATGAGGGAGAGAGAGAGACTGCCACGCAAAGCCTTCATCTTCACTTTTGATGAACCCGCCATCGCTATGTTTCTCATG